CTTTCTCATCATCCACGCACACCTGCATACAGCTGGGTGAAGGTGGGGGTGCCATTGCCAGGGAAGGAGTAAGGGAATGACCGTTATATATGCTATATTTTCCCAAATCAATAATATGGAAATACATTGAAAATTCAGAACGAAATAATCAGCTTCCTGCAAATGGTTTGGAGCTCACAAGAAAGTCCAGACAATGTGGCTGGTGAGGCTTGAGGCATTAGATTGCCTGTGAGAAGGAAACGTGGAACTGTGCAAAGAGAGAAAGTAACGAAATGTATTTTGAAATCAGGATGTTTGGGCCTTGTTGGACGCTCTCCGACACTACCAAATCCTTGGTGGTGTTGGAGAGCCTCGAGTATTGCCTGCAGTCTTTACATCGACCCCCTATTTCCTGGTGTCTTGAATTGCTTTTTGTAAACACTCCCTTTTTTCTTATTACAGCTGGTTATGCAGTATCTTTATTATGGAGGTGCAGAGTCACTCTTGATTAAAAATAATGAAATTATGGAGGTAAGAGACATTTATCTTAATTGCAGTGGGAGCAATGCTAAGTGATCTGTGTACCCTTCACCCAAGGGCACATTGTAAGAGCCAGCAGTGCCTCACCCAGAGTGCCCAGGCTGCCCGCAGTCCTGTGGGAGAGAGACACTCAGTCTCCTTCCCTGATGGTCACCCGTTACGGTAACTTTTGCCAGTATGACCTTGACTGTCAGAGACGAAAGAGTAGGAAAATTAAGATCATCAAGCAAAAAAGTATCAGAAATAACAATATCTAGTTAGATGCTTTGCGAGGCTCTTTGAAGGAAATGCTAAGCTGGTGTAACTGGAAGCAACTCCGGACAGCAGAGTAGACCATCCTCTCTCTCTCTCTCAGCCTGATAGGTGAAGTGCTCTGCTCCAGCTGGACCGGTCAGCTTCTGTCTGCCACACTCTTACTTTTAGCTTATTAGCTCAGGCTTAGATGTCCAGACCTATCTCGGCAACATAAAAGCATCCAATTTGGTTCTTCACTTGGGAGAATTCTCAGGCCTGTACCTGGCTTTAATCATGGGACAAATCCCACTGGAGTCACAGTTCAGTTCAATTTCAAGCATGTGACTGTCATTTTTTCTGAATAAAACCTTAAGCTGCTCCCTGAGATACAGAGACTCCTTAGCCCCTTTCTCACTGCATGTCAAACATCCAGTGCCATCGCGCCCGTTTGTAAAAGCCAAACCACACCAACTGGAGCTGCCTGAGCCTTCAGTATAGCCACACATCCACAACCTGTATGGATGTTGAGTCATTCTCTTCCCAGTACTGTGTTCTGTCTTTACCAGCTGTGATCAGCCTAATGACTCCAACCATATAGAACTAAGAGATATTTGCGCAAATTCTTGACAGTCATTCAGGGAGTTTTCCTGTTGACAATCACCAAATTATGGTAGCCAAATAGAATACAGGATAGTAAATACTAAAATCGGGGCTACTTAAACAGATGGTAATCATCAGTGTACAAATTATAGTCTGCCACCATCAAGTTTTTATTGTTGGCTACGTTAGTTAGTCTGTCCCTATGACACTACTGCCTGGGGCATCCATGGGAGGCTTGACTTCCACCAAAGTACTGCTAAGCAGAAACTGGTAGCAACTCTTTTTTGGGGTACAAGTGGCCAGGATGAATCAATTCTGATGGTACAGGGACATCTGTACCAACCCTGCCAGCAGCCAGAGGATGGAACTAGTCCAGACTGAAATTATCCCTCTCCAAAGCAGGCGGTGGGTTTTTAACTAAGCACACCCACATTGACTTTCTGAGCTTTATAGGAAAAGGTCACTGATTCTCTATTTCACTTGTAGTTTTGAAAGAAGCTCCTGAATTTCTAACCCTTCCTGAAATAAGGAGTCTCAGACTAGGCAGTGCAATGGCTTTATAGAGATGCGTATGTTATCACCTAGGCTGTTAAAAAGCTTGTGCTGTAGTTCAGCTGGCTGCTTGCTCTACTTTTGTGACATCTCAAAACTTCTGTGACTCAAGAATGTATGACTGATTGATTGATCTGTTGATAACAGATCTGGCCACGGTTCCTCACAGTTTAAAGTAATTACAAACCAGCACGTGACTGCTTGAGCCACAGAGGCAGCTGGAATAGGATTTGGCTTTATCTTTCAAAACTGCATTTAGCAACTTGCCTTATTACAAATATGATAAAAAGAAGCACCAGAAATACTCCACAGAAATCTTTGTTGCAATTCATAATTGGGGCCAGCTGGCTGCTATCGCATCAGCACTGCAGATTTCCAGCACTTGGTTTTATTTATGGGATTAAAGCAGAGCTTGAGCAGACTGCATAGGAGAAGTCGGAATAATGTCATGGAAGTTTCAGGGGTTTGTTCCCCAATGCTCCTACCAAGGTGGCATGAGAGCCCTTCATGGATTCACAGGATAGCTTTTTGTCATGCAGTCCCAGATGGTAAGGGCCGTATAAATGAACAGCTTGGCCTAAGAGACCTGGCTGTTTTAGACCAAGATGTCAAGCAATGAAGAATCCCAACCTGCTTCCTAAGCCAGAGCAGAGAGCGAGAGGCAATGACCTACCATGGAAAGACAGAAAATGAAATTCCTTTTCCCTGCTGTGAAAGGACAGAAAGGTGGCGATACGGGAAATCTTAGCACTACTGAAATCAGTCAGAGAACTCAAAATTTAAGCCATTTTCACCCCACAGGCTTCAGGTCATGCCCACAGTGTCCAGTGGCATGCAGAGATCCCAGGGCAGTGGCAATCCAGGTAGCATATCCATGGGGTGGATACAGCACCAAAGAGGGAGGTCAGCTTGGGTCCTGATGGCAGGAGATACGTGGTAGTGCAGCGATACAGGCATGTGGCACTAACATGAGTGTTAACTAGGCAGTGCCTTGCACCAAGCTGGTTCCCACGTTTGCATCGTATCCTCCTGTGTACCCACTCCTTGGAGTCACGTGGAGCCAGACAGTGTTTCAGTGCCTGTGGCCTAGACGTGACCCAACCGCTGCTCATGAGCTAGAGCAAGGAGCACACGGAGATCTGACTCCATTTCCTTGAGCTTGCCAAGGTGACAGATTTGACATCTATTGCCTCTCCAGATTTTTAAGACTGCCCAGTATGGTTATGGTTCTCTGGTTTGAATTACTCTATACTCTTGGTCCTGGCGCTTCTGCTGACACCCCCATATCCAACCCATGTGCTCTGTTTCAGCCAGAGCTTGAGAAACAGTTGAGCCCAAACATTTTTTTCCTGGAAAGTAATTGCAGATCCCTCCTTGCAGAGTCATGTTTGCAAAGTGACCAAAGACTCTCCAATCTGCCATTTCCTTTTTCTCTCTCCCCCCACCCCAAAGTAAGCACGTGGACCTGAGCAGCCTGTGGTGGTCTCTCCATACACAGCTTCCCACAGTGTGATCTAGAGGGGACTGAAAAGGGTTGTTTGTCAGTACTTTCATGAAAACTGAAGCAGGGGTGGAGAAAAAATATAATGAAACAGTAAAAAAGCAAGCTCCAATTCTGTACCGCTCAGCAGTTGTGACTATTTTTTTCCATGCTTTCTTTTTTTTAGCTTCTCTCTGCTGCTAAATTTTTCCAGCTTGAAGCTTTACAACGACACTGTGAGATCATTTGCGCAAAAAGCATTAATACAGAAAACTGCGTGGATATTTATAATCATGCCAAGGTAAAAATAACCACATATGCTTTTATGTTTTGTGCCTGTCGTCAGTTCTATGATAAGTAGTGGTAGTTTGTTACTTATTTAAGATTTGTCATTTACTGTGACTGAGTGGCAAATAGGTACCTAGTATAGTGACAGTCCTAAATCATGTAGTGTTAGAGCATCTGCGGCCACCACTCACCCCCTTCTCTAAGTGCTTCAAACTCAATTTGAGTGTACCACTGTGTGGCAGACCTTTCCCTTATCATGGCAACCCAAACTGCTGAGTTATTCAACAAGAGTCACCTAACTGAACAGGACACCCCTCTTTCACCTTTGAAGCTGCATTTTCCCATTACAATTCCCTGTTTCCTCCTGCCTGAAGCCCACTGGGGTGATATACTCAGTGCTGGTGACAGCTTGTCAATAAATAAAAATGCCATGTTGTCAAAGTGCAACATCTCCGAGCCATGCAAAGATGGTAATGAGAATTTTATGTCTTGGAGAGGAGAGATTCACAGCTTCTTATTGGAGTCAAATGATTTACTTAGCTTGTGAGGGGGCCTAAGTCATTAGGCATAAAAGCGTGGCATTTTTTTGACCTAGAAAACCTATTTTCGCTCATTGATGGAGGTGGTTGCCACATTGATTAGTTTCAGTTTTTCTCCTCCTCTTGTGTGCTTAGTAGTTAGACTTCCAGTTGGAAGATCGAAAGGATACACAAATAGTTGCACTGAAATATTTTTAAAGCATTCCTTAGATGATTGTTTTCTTTAACTTACATGGTCTATACGAAAAATAAAATAGTGCAGTGTGACACGGAGGCTTGATTGAACAGAGTAATCCTGCAGATTGCTCCAAACCCCTGCAGATCTGACCTCCATTCCTATCATCAGATGTTTCCTACAGAGAGTAGTATTGTTAGGTCTTGATGTACAGATAACGCGCAATCAGCGCAGTTAGAAATAGCATAAAGTTCCTTCTATTAAATGAATAAGAAACGAGGTGTATCTGCAGTCCATTTATTGTAATAAGAAAAAAAATCAGCAGTGTAGGAATATTTTGAAAAATACCTGATTTATCCTCTAGCTCATGTGGGAACTTCTCAATTTGTATTCCTGTTACTAAAAGTAAAATGAATACTTTTGTTTTAAAATTACGTGTTTTCTTTGATTTGTGAAATGTGATTGTTATTTACATCCTGACTGAAGAAAGTTCTTACACGGAGCTTTAGCCCTGTCTGAGGAACTTGTACACTGCTGATGCGGGGGCTGAACAAACCCAGTGGCTAAATTTGGCTCCTTCTTTGCCTGTAAGGGCCCCAGCCTGCAAGTTTTTTGTGCCTGCATCTCCCAGTGGAGTCAGTGGAAACGGTGTACTTGAGAGGCTTCTATGGCCAGGGTCACGTTTGCACTGACGTGGGTAGTGCATTGCAGAGATAGCCAAGCTAGCTGTGAATGAAATCTTGACTTCTGGAATTAGTTAAGCCACATCACCCTGGAGCTCTGCAGGGGCTTTCAGTAAATTACCAGGGCTGAGCTTCATCCTGCTATAGCCAGAACGTTTCCAGGACCTCAGCTAGCACATTTAAAGCTAGTTTAGATACCTCTCTGTTATGCTGTCTACAGAGCAGAGAAGACATTCCATCTTTTTGTTCCTGGTCTGTGTGATGTGCAGGTGATTAAACTGAGCACAGATCGTTCTGTCCAGAGTGCTTCCGTCAAACAGTCACTTCATTTGTTTGTTATGTGAATATGAGATAATGGTACGTGGTGGAAGAGGCCAGATGGTCCTAATGAACCAGGGGAGCTCACAGACAGTTCGAGTGCAGCTCGCCAGCCAACCATTTACCTTTCCATGTTCCTCTCTGAAATGTGGAAGAAGCTCGTGTTAGACTGCAGTGAGGATGGGAATAAGATGATCAGGCACGGCAGCCAGGAACCACCGTATCAGCCAGGAGCTAGGTTCTGAGTAACTTGCTCCTGTTGCAGGTACAATTTCTTGTCCTTGCTACTTTGCAAGCTCAGCTGCACCTGCAGGAACTCAGGTGATGCTGAGACCTGCTTTTCCAGAAGGGGATGTGTGAGCAGGTTGGCCCAGAGACACATGGAGCACAGTCTTTGTCGTCATGATTGAGAGAAAGGTATGATTTGGTGGAAGCATAACAAGAAGTGAGAACAGCTTTAGAAGGCTCTTTGTGGTGGGGGTGTAG